TTCTAAATTATTCTTAATAATAATAAGCATCAGTACAAGAAAGTTAAAAAAATCAACAGCAGCTCCGTTGGATTTTACGACACTCAATCCTACAAGGTTCAAACATTGAGCAGCACACAGAATCTATTTGACAAGAACGTTGATCTCTTTAATTCTTGCTTATAAACCAAAGTAGATACATCCCGACGGGCATTTGTTTTTAATCTAACTTTTTCAAAACAATTTCAAGCGTGGAAGTTGCAAAATGATTATGCATGGGAATAAATACTAAGAGTCGCTCAACTGGCTTTTCATTTTGTACATTAGGAGTAGAATCAACGATGAACGTTACTTAAGGATGATCATATTATCTATAAATTCCTTAACCTCGGCGGCTAAGTGAAAGAGTTCTTTGAAAATCTTTTTAAATAAGTACAATCTTCTTTTTTGTTTCCATAAGTTATCAAATGTTGGGCGAGGAAAGGATCAAATTTTACTAACAGCTCATTACATCCAATAAAGTTTCCGTTGCGAAACGATCCTAGTTTTTTGTCTGATCCGCGGAATGATAATCCTATAACAATGAGCAATGAATAAAGTATCCAAGTATTTTTAAAAAAAAAATTTTCACCATTATTTTCAAACTTAAAAGTTCTTTCCAGTCGTTAAAAAAATAAAATGTCCAGTTTGCAATGTCGTATGCGTTGTTATGCAAAGATTAAAAATCTCTTGGACATGAGAGGAAGTCAAGGATAGAGGCCGATAGTAATTTTTCTTTCAAATTTATCTCTCTCAACTATTCACTTAAATGCTCTGGCCCCTTGAACTCTATGGCCTCCCGGCACGTGTTCAGTGTGTCCAGTGGTTTAACTGGCACTAATCTGGTGTAAATTTCAGAGTAACAAAATTACTGGTGAAACCTATGTACGATCAGTATTGACACTAAAGTACCTGATACATTTAAACAAGTATTTTCTTTAAACAATTTTAACTGTGATAAACTTGGAAAACTGGAGAAACTCAAAAAGTTAATAAACCTTTGAAAAATTTGGACAAAATGCTTAAAAACCGTTTGTGTTGGGAGCAGTATATCAAGTTGTGTTAAAAAAAGAGTTAAAAGGCTCAGAACCTCGAGAAAAGAGCTTTATGATAAATTTGAAGAGGGAATGACAAGCAGTTATGGTTGTTGAACATTTTATGTTATCATACAACTGCAAGATTTTTCTTTTTTTACTTGTTTTTTTTTTTTAGCTTATCAACGACGTTTTTTTCTTGCTGATTCTCAACTTTTCAGAAAAATTAACTTTGTAATAAAAAATAATAGCTCAATTTTTGCAGGTTTGAATATAAACATTTTGGAATTGTGATCTATTATAAAGAACTTGAAGGTTTTTTTCAAATAGCTCAACTTCGGTCCCAAATTTTGCTGTTTATGTATCTTGTTTTGTTAATGTTTGAATGTTTCATATTTTATCGAATTTTGAAATTGAAATTGCACCTTGATTTACATATTGACCATTTGTATAAAAATGTGATTAAGGAACAACAACAACAAACAATTAATAACTTTTAGGGTTTCCGCCGGCTTAATTTTGATCCAAACTCAGTGGCGTATGAAAACCCCTGACACTAACCTTAATAACCCCTATTTAATAAACATTAGAGCGCAATAAATTTAAAATCCGAAAATTTGATCAGAAAAAATTATTTAAAAGTATAAAATTAACAACTACCCGAACAATGTTAAAAATTTAAAAACTACTTTCCAATGCGACAAAGCATTTAAAACTGTATTTAAAGTATTAATAACAAGTATTCTTGTAAAATATTTGTTTAAATATCATTCAAAATGACTAAAGTTACAATATTAAAAGCTAGAGCGTTTCTAATGCAGGTATGCACGGATTTATCCGTAAGTTCAGGTGGAAATGTGGCTGATTTTTTATTGTCTCATTCAGTTATTTAGGAAGCTCAGAAGAAATCAATTCGGAAAAATGCTAAACAAATGAGAAACCTTTTCAAATTATTGCCAGTACAGGTATTTGTCTCATAATGGCACATTTTGATGGAAAAATTATGGAAGATATTACAAAAGGTGAAAAATTAAAAAAAAATAGATTTGCAAACTCGGTTAATATTGATGGAGAAAAATGAAGCTGCTAAGCATTCCAGCAATTGATTGTGGAACTGGACAAGCTCAATCTGATGCTTTTGTTAAAACACTAGAAGAATATAGAATATGTGATGATATAAAAGGTTTATGTTTTGATACCACTGAAGTATTGGAAAAACATCTTTTTTTGAGCAAAAGCTTTTACTTTTTCACCAAATTCGAAAGATCCTTCAAACTAGTTTTTTTCATTTTTACAACATGTTCTTTTTCTTTGAATAATATTCTATTCAACATATACTATAAACAAGAAAATCAAAGGCGTTTGAAATACCCTACAAATTTGTACCAAAATTGGGCCGACACACAGTGGGGCTGAACTGCTTTAAAACTGGACATTGGCGAGAACGAAAAAAAACGTTATGAAACATTTTTTGGAGGAAATGAATAAAAGAGTCTTTGGTCCATTTTATCCGCATATTTTTTTAGGATAGGACTGACTATTAAATCTTCAGAACCCATATTCTAGCTCGATTCCTTTGTTTATAAATTAATTGTTTGCACGATTTATTAGTGCTACTTTGTTTTTATAGTGTTAAAGCTGATATTTGTTAAAAGCTCTCAAACTTTTTTCAGGGATTTTTCAATTTTAGGTTTACAGCTATCTTTTTCTAATGAAAAAATAATTTTAAACTTATTGAGCCTTTTTGTCTGTATGTGTCAATTATATCAGTAGAAACCAGGTAACAAAACCAGGTCATGAACGCATGAACTTGATGTCGTTCTTTTTTGTGTGTGAGATTTGTTTTTATCAAATTTAAACGAATATAACTAATCGAGTTTTCAAGTACTTTTATTTGAGTGACAAATTACTTTAAATTCCAATTACTGTAACTTATTTTAGTGAATCATTTAGAATACGTTTTAATATTATTTATTCATGTAATCTTTTGAACTTTTTTCTTTTTTCTATCATCACTCACCGGTTTTATAAAAAAACTTTACTCGAAATTACTCAAAAATGCATTAAAAACGTCTGACAATTGTAAATAAATATTTCAAAATCTATGGAGTAATTTTTCCTAACTTTAACAAGTGCCCTTAAAATAATTATTTGTTTTAAAAATCCAAAACAAAAAAAACAAAAAAAAAATACTTTTTCCAGTTTTAAAGCTACTCTGCCTCACTGTGCGGCAGGAACCCTAAAAATTATTTAAATTTTTTTTTTTTTTTTTTTTTTGTTGCTTAACCACATTTTTATATGAATGGTCAATTTAAATCAAGATGCAATTTAAATTTCAAAAATCGATAAAATATCAAACACCCTAATATTTATATTAATTTATCTTAAAGTTTGTCAACCGGACATCTAAACTATACAATTAAAAAATTGTGTATAAATTCATTTTAGAAAGACATTAAAGTTATTAAAGTTTTATTTAATCAAAAATTTTATACAAAATGTTAGTCTATTATTGAGTTATATTAAAGTTATTAATTTTACGTTCAAATTTCCACTCATTTTTAACAATCTTTGAACCAGTTTTACTATAAGAAAGATTAGACGGTTTTTAAAGTAATATCACCTTTAAATAGAGAATTAAAAAAATCTTTTTTTACATTTTGAATAATTATGATATGACTATCATAATCTACTAATAATTTATATGTTATAAATATAATTATGTTATATTTTATAAATAGGTTATTTGTTATAGATATAATATAAAGAAAGCCAATGCTGCTGTTTAATTGAACACAACGATCCTTAAAAACAATAGCTAAATTGTCCTGTCTTTCAGCCTTCCTTTTCCGCCTCCAATTTCTTTACCATCAGCAAGTTTTTTCGCTTTTTAATTTTTTTAAGTTTCTTTATAATTTCCCATTTATAAGCTTTAAGTCTTCGAGCCAAAGTATTTTTCAATTTTTTTCCAATAATATTGCTTTACTCTGGTAGTCAATTTATTACAAAAGAAAATTCGTTGTTAATTGGTATAACTAAAATTTGGTCATCAATCAACCAGCTGAGTCACTTCCATTATTATAATGATACTTAAATGGTGAGTAAGCAAAAACTTCCATAAATAAACTATATATCAAAAACTTGCATAATTAAACTACTTTATATCTGATATTGTGGTAATAAAAACAGTCATTTATAGCCAAGTTCGTGTTTTTTAACATTGTATTTATAATTGCATATTTAAGCATAGACCTATGTTTTGCAATAGTATCGGTCAAATACGTTGTGCATTTATTGGTTAAAATATACAGGGTCGGCGCCAGCATTTTTTGGTCTTTGAGTAGCTAACTTTCAGACAGGGAGCAAACTCCAAACATTTATGTGTTTATACTTAGAATAAGCAAAAATTTTGAGGCTTTTTTGTTCTCAAGCTTCAATCATTTTTTGCAAAGCATCTTTATTTGACATAATATGTCAAATAAAGATGCTTTGCAAAAAATTGCGATGATTAAAGCTTGAGAACAAATAAGCGCAAAAATTTTGGCCTACCCTGCCTAAAACGCGAGAGCAACAAGTTGATGAAATATTTTTTGTACCATTTTCAACTAGACTTATATCCATCAATAAATTTTAAGTTTCATAATAAAAAATATTAGCGTTCAAAAATTATATAAAGTTCATATAAAGTTTGAACCCCCCTCAATTTGAGAGGGTTGCAAATTTTATATTGTCATAATTTTTGAACGCTGAGAGATAATACTCTCACGTTTAGGATAGGGTACGCCAAAATTTTCGGGGTTTTTTGCTCCCGAGCATCGCAATTTTTTGCAAAGCATCTTTATTTGCAAATATATAAAAACATTTATATGTTTATACTTTTGTCAAATTTGACATAAGTATAAACATATAAATGTTTGGAGTGACGAAGTTATCTCAAAGAAAGCTATCTCAAAGATAGCCGGTTATCCTGAAAATATATCAAGTTAGTGTAAATTTGTTTTTTCTATTAATATTACTCAAAAATTTGGCGGATGAAAAAGCGGCGTGCATCCGACGGTACCGGTCAAATGATACTTTACATCTCAAGTTTCAGGTAATTTAAAAAAAAATACACTTTTAACACCATACACTTTAAATATACTTTTAACAATACCTTTAGCAAAGTTGCTTACAAATATTTGTTAAAATTCATAACCATACTTTATTTAATTAAATGAACATTTAGTTTCTCAAATTTATTTTAAACAACTTTTTTGACAAAATTAATTTGTTAAAATTAAAAAAAGAAGTTAAGAAATTTTAAATTTATAATGGTAGTGAATTTTATCAGATTTTTTCTAAAATCGCATGCCTAAAAGTTTATTTCTTATCTCTTTTAGGTATTTAAATTTTTTTACATCGTGGAAAAAAGATTGCTTTACTTTTTTAAACTAATTAAATAAAATGATTAATACGACTTAGAAAAATGAACATATTAAATACTTTTAATTAAGCAGTCCCAAATTATACAAGTTTAATTTCTTGATTTATAATTTTAAATGATATTTTTTAAAACGTAAGTTTTCTTTTTTTAAATAACTAAATTAACTATAACTTACCTTTATCTTAAAGACCTCTCAGAATCATGAACTGTAATGATCCCTTTCTTCTCTAATGCTATGTTGCAACAATGGCATTACACTCTCTTGATTTCCTTGAAGCTAAACAAACAGTGGAAAGACTGCTTTTGGTCAGATTGTAAACTTAGTTTAAAAATTGTTTTACTTTTGTTATCATTATTATCGCAACAAGAGGGTGTCTGCTAAATCAGGGAAATAAAAAAAAACAGAAAAAAGTCAGGGAATCTATTTATATATAAAAAAAACAATGGAATTAGGGTTAAATTACAAAAAAAAAAAATCAGGAAAAATGGTTCTTATCAAACTTACATAACTCAAGTAGATTGTATACTGTACACATAATTATAAATTTTTTTTATTTAGCAGATAGTTTTATGAACTTGATACTTCAAATGTGGATTTTATTATTGTTAATGTTTTTGTAATTGAAGGTCATTTTTCTAATAGATTTATGTCTATAGTCTAATATTTCTGAAGTTAAGTTTATATAACTTCAAATTATATCAGGGAAAATAGATTGTGGATCAGGGGAAATATCAGGGGAAAATCAGAGAAATCCACCTTAAAATATTGGCAGACACCCTGAACTATTGTAATAACCAATATTATTAGTATTTTTATTTTTTTTATTTTTTAATAATATTGTGATTATTTTAATTATTATTACTAATATTAACTGTTTTTTCTGTAAATTAAAGTAAAGATTAAAAAAAGGAAAAAAAAAAAAAAATCTTCTGTTTTCTAACAAACACAATTAAAGTTTTTACTAAAATGCTTTTTTAATAAAAAAAGTTTTGTATCTAATAAAAATTGTGTTAACATATTAAGTTTTTTTATTTTCCTAAGAGCTAATCAAAATCAGGGCTAAATATTGACCATGGAGTTGCATTGAATTAGAATTTAACCTATATCAGTCATTATTTTTTATCAACTTTTTTAAACAATAGCATTGCTTTATTATCTAGAATAAGAAACTTTTAAGATAAATATATATATATATATATATATATATATATATATATATATATATATATATATATATATATATATATATATATTATGCTTTTCTTGTGTTCTCATATAACATAAACCCTCAGCATCTGGGGTCAAAACTTATAAATTGTATATATAGATCTTTCAAAAGATTTTTTAATAATTAAATTCTTGCCAGCTTTCATACAGCTACAAGCCTTAGACAACACTCCAATTTAATAATATTTATGATATATTAAAAAATAAAAAAAAGCCTTTTTAAAGAGATGCTTTAGTAAAACACATATTTTATGAGAAATGTTTCTTCGTAAACTCAGCAATAATTATTAGAATCGTCTATAAATATACTTTTAATGCTGACCTAAATATATATGGTTTTATATTAAAAAAAAAAACTCTCTGAACTCTAAATTGATGTAGCTCACTTAACAGGGAGCAACAAGTGTATAGAATAATTTTCTTAGTATTTTTTTCTAAGTTTATATTCATCAACAAATTTAAATTTTCATGCAATAATATCTTAGTGTTCAGTTCTTATGACCATACAAAGTTTACAGTCCCCTCAAAATGAGGTGGGTTAAAACTTTATCTGGTCATAATTTTTGAAAAATAAAAGGTTATTGCATGATATTTGAAATTTGTTGATGAATATAAACTTACATAAAAATACTAAAGAAAATATTTTATAAAGTTGTTGCTCCCACATTTAGGGCTGGGTGGGCCCAAAAATTGGATTTTTTTTGTCCCCAAGCTCCAATCACCGCAACTCTTTGCAAAACATTCTCATTTGACATAAACATGAACATGCAAAAGTTTAGAGTTTGTACAATGCCTGTAAGTGTCAAAACTCAAACATATAAAAATCCAGTGTACATCACTGATATGTATGTGTATATATATATATATATATATATATATATATATATATATATATATATATGTATATATATATATATATATATATATATATATATTCTCTCTCTCTCTCTCTCTCTCTATATATATATATATATATATATATATATATATATATATATATATATATATATATATATATACATATATATATATATATATATATATATATATATATATATATATATATATATATATATATATATATATATATTTATACTTGTGCTACTCTTAAAGTTTAATTTTTTTACATTTTTTGAATTTTTAAAGCTATTTTCAAGCAAAAATAAAAATTTAAAAATTATCAACTACTTATATACTTATGTCATTGCAAATAATGATAGGTTTTTAATAATGGCCTTTTTTAAACAGGCAGCAACAGTTCATTTTTCGTAAAATTAATGAAGGTCGATTTTTTATGGTTAAAATTATTTTTAATGTTTGCTTTTATAAACAAACTTCAGAAACAAATAAAGAGCTTTGTTAAGACAAAATATTTTGATTAAAATTTGGGAGAAAATCTTGTTGGAGTTATTTTTACGTTTAGGAATAAGTTAATTATGATAAAGATTTACCGTAAAAACCCCTAATTCCGGATGTAACCTAATCACGGATGGTTTTAATAAAAAGTTTCATAACTCCTTTAATATAATGAATTTATGAATAATTTTTTTTAATTAATAAACGTCTTTACAAGACAAATCAAAAAATATAAAAAAAAAATTATATAAACTAATGCAATCATGAAAGATTTCAATTTGAAATCTCTCATAACTAAAAAAACAAAAAAAAGGAAAAAAAAAACTTTGACTTGCACCAAAAAAATTAAAAAAGTAAAAGCACTATTTTGTGCAAAATTTTATGCTGATTATTTTAGCCAAAAAAAAAATTAAATTTCCTTTTGAAATAATTGAAAAAAATAAAAAACAAATTTGCTTCCAGCCAAAAAAAAAAGACACCTAATTCCGGATAGAGGTAGTTATTATTTTATGTACCTAGAAAAAATAATAAACAAATTAGCCAGCAGCAATAAATAAATACACTTTTGAGTCCCGGACAGTTAATTACAATTGGCTATTTTATTTTTTATCACTTTCATGCACATAATATAATATATTATGTTTATTAAGGTGGTAGTATGGTCAAAAATTTCCAATTTTTTGATTTTTTTTTTAATATAACTTCTTAACATTTTCATTCATGCTGAAAACGATTTTTTTGATGTATTCTATATAAAACCGTCTATTTTTTATATAAAAAGTTGTACTATATAATATTGCTTCTTAGCAACGGCATAGCAACAAGGTAAACACCATGTATATCATCTTATTGAACTCCCTGAAGAAAGTATTTTCTTAGAGAAATTACTAAGTGAATTTGGCTTCTTTTTTTGCCGTAAAAACATTAAACCAGCACTTATATAAGCAGTTATCTTGTTGACTATCATTACATAAACACATGTTATCTATTTCAGTTACTAATGTTGAATATATCTAGAGTATGATTGTTTATTGTTGTTTTATAAACTATTCAGTGTAGATTAAAATAAATTTATTATTTCTAATCAATTAATATGAAAACTGAAGTTTTAAGAAGAAGAAAAACTGGTGCCTTAAGAGTGTTTAAAAAAAGAAAAAGCACTTCAAAAAATCAAGTTTGGCAATTTTTTTCCCAAAATATAAAGATACTTCTGCGAGCCAAGAATTGTCATTAATTGATAAAAATGCTAAAAATTTAGCATTTTACTTAACTTTACAACATCAACCAGCAATGTTATTGCCAATAATGAACCTAAAGTAAACTATTTCAAAGTAAGAAGAAAGGAGTCTAATTTTGTTTTAATTGATCTTAATATAATTGTACAAACTCTTACTTTAGTTGGAACATGCCCTGACTGAGAGCAATTCAATCAATATTAATATAGATTATAAAAATAAAAAAGGTTTAAGTTCTTTGTTGCTATTGAGTTGCATTAAACTTTTATGGTAAACAAAATTGTATACTAGTAAAAAAGTTGCAAGTAAAACTTCTGAAAAGTTTTTTGATATATAATAACATTCAGTTGTTGCAATGTTACAAAATTATTTTGGAATTGTGATTTGTCAATGTTGTGGGAAATCTGTTAATAAACTAATAAAAGCTATTGAAGCTGTATTATTTAAGATGTAAGATGTAAGACATACTATGTGTCCTCAAACTAATTACAAATATAAAGGATATAAATTTGATAAAACATATGTTAATAAAGAAAAACCTGGACTGCCTATTGTTATTAGGGACATAACCAGTATTCATAGATTATCAGATAAAAGCTTGTTAAAAAAGTGCCTTCATGGAAAAACTCGAAACAATAATGAAGCCTTAAATGCAATAAATTGGAATCGAAGTCCAAAAATGTTTGTGTGGGGCAAATTGCTTGAGAGAAAGCTGCAGCATCAGCTGTTATTAAATTCAATAAAGGATTAACTGGTTTGTTAAATGTTTATTTAGAGCTTGGTATAAATCCTAACAAAAACTTTATTACATTTTGCAAACAAAGAGATTGTCAAATAGTTAAAAATATTGCTAAAAAAAATTTGACTGATGAGGTAAAGCAATGTCAGAAACAAATAAGAGCAAAATAAAAAGATTTTAGTGATCAATATGAAGAAAGTAAAGAAGTAGCTTAACTTGGGAACTACTTGTTACTACTTGTTATGGGTCTTTAAAATTTTGTTCAGTTGTAATAATATACATGATAAACTCATTGGAGCAGTATATTTTTTTGATATTATATTTTGACAGAGTTATGGACTTTTAAAGGGGGCTGTTTGGGGGTAAAATTTGACCCGTTAGTTGTATATGCTGTATCTCCTTGGTGCTTTAAGCTTACTTTATAATTCTGCTTCCATGAGTTCTTTAATATAATACAAGTAAACACTGAAAGTTTGAGTTTTATAGCATCTACCATTGTCTCAATATTTATCGCAGCACCTATTGACTGTTTTAGGTTTCACAACCCAAAACCTGGGTCCAAAAGTAAAATTTTTTTTTTTTTTTTTGAATTTTATGTTTTTATGCAGTCTTTTAATATTTTATGAAATCAATACTGTTTGGTTAAAAAAAATGATTTTAGAATTTTGACCATACTACCACCTTAAAGTAATAAGAAATAAAATAGCCACAAGGGAAAAATAATTGAGATAAAGCTATTTTTTTTAGC